GCGCCGGTGACAGCGCTGTCCACGCACAGCAACAAGCTACCTCACGGCACGGCACTGTTCGGACCAGGTCGGGTGCTAAAGGGAGCACAAAACACAGCATGTCCGACACGCTACAGCAGCACTCACTTGCTGGTGTTGAATGTGGTTTCTGATACGATGATGGGAAAGTATATCTCCGTGTTGCGCCGCTGCTCCTCGTGTGCCCAAGCAATGTCCGTCAAGCGGTTTTCCTCGTCGAGCTTGAAGTTCTTGAAAGCGCCGTCCTCCTCGAGCTGGTGAAGGAACTGCTGGGCGTCGTTCAAACCACCGCGGCTGTTCTGCTTGTCCTTGTCGAACTGCGCCCTCATGAGACGCAGCTACCGCCCAACACGCACGATCACAGGGGATGTGGTTGGCTTCACGACACTTCCAAAGTCAATCGAAGGTAGGCATTTCGGACGCCAACATGCTCAAACGACGTTAACATTATGGTCACGACGCTACGTGTGGGACGTGTTGAAAGCCATTGCCGCCGAAGTGTATACCGTGATACTCCTCGGACTTAAATGTACTACCCCACCCTACCCTTCTGTCTGTCGCGTCAAGAGCTAAACCCCTCCCTAGCTCACCATGTGTTTTCCTTTGCCTCCCAGCCTCTTTCCCGTTTCTTGCAGGTATTTGTAGATCTCTGCCGTTTTGACGCCTTTCTCGTGCATCTTCTTTGATGTTGGCGGATTTTGCTTCGAGATCCTCCCTGGTCATCTCCTTCTCGGTAACGCGCGGGGGGTCGTGCTCGATTCCTTCCGAACCCTGGTACGTGTGCCGCAGGCAAACGTCCTGCTTCGTTGGGGAACACGGACGGGGGCACGCCGCCAGTGTTTGCGGGCAAGCGCAGGAGGTCACAAGAGGCATTACACTTTGTCACACGGAACGACGCAGGCTCCTCTGCCTGCCGTCCTACGCGCTGAGGAGGCTTGCCTTGCGACTGGCTCTGGTTCACGCCAAAAAACACAACACAACTTCCACGCGAAGGTACTGAATTACCATGAGTCAAACCCTTTTGCACTAACCCTAACACACCTTTCCAAGGCTCGGCGCATCGCTGTCGGCGCCCCAGTACAGGGAAAGTCCCCACTTGCATCGGAACTACTATTGTGGATTGAGGAAACAGCGCGCACAAGAGGAAGCAAGGCATTAGTCACAAACGCCTGTCTGTGCCGGTGGCGAGGCGTTTTCCGTCCAAATCATTGC